TATTACAACATTTAAAAAATTCCTAATACGCTTATAATGTTTTTAGGCCTGTCACCACGTACACAAAAAATATAATGAGAAACTGTATCTAAAATTTAAAATTCATGCACAAAGTATTATCTTTAAGTACTAAAATATACTACATACTACGTGTATTATATTGGTTGCTTGGACTAGTTGTTAAAAATTAAAAACTTAAATTTGAACATAATTAACTATAAATATGTATAAAGATACTTGCACAAAAAATATAATGAGAAACTATAGCTAAAATTTAAAAATTCAAGCACAAAGTATCATCTTTAAGTACAAAAGTAGATATTATCTTGGTTGGGCTAGTTGTTAAGAACTAAAAACTTAAGAAAATGAGTTGGTCCAGTGGTGTTGAGCATATGTTGACTATGTTAAATTTAAATATAATTAACTATAAATATGTATAAAGATAAATTAATAAATATAAATATACATGTGTACGTGTAAATAAATAAATAAATAAATTGGTATATATATTAAAAATGTATATATACTAAATGTAGCGGGCCGGGCTTATCGGCCCGAACGGGCCTACACCCTAACCCAAGCCCGCCCGTATGTTATTGCGGGCCGGGCCTGGCCTGGCCCGGTGGGTACATATATATGCCCAAGCCCGCCTATTTGTGCGGGCGGGCTGGGCGAGCCGGCCGGCCCGGCCCGGTTTTGTACAGGTCTACTCGTGTACTGTGTGTCAAGCGTGTGCAACTTTTATGTCAAAATGTAATTTTTCCTATTACAATTATATGGAGCACTTCTCACTTGCCATATTATGCGCACGTTTTCTATACACACCAAATAGGTTATCTGTGAACACTAACAATTTGACTTAAAATGCAAAAAAGTTTAAAATTGTTTGTGTATAGTCTGTATACCGATAAAATGGGCATGGTAAGGTGAGACATTCCAAATTTAAAAATCTTTGTATTATTAGTGCAAACAATTTCGTGTAAGATTTACTAAAAAAACCTTGTATATGTATCTAGTGACGGGTTGTGAGTAAAAATATCGGCTTTATCAAACTTTTGGAGGAAGTTGCTTATAAAACACTGCCCTTTGTTGTTCTTTTGTACCAATTTAGCTTATAGTGAAGTAAAAACGTAAATCTCTTTTACGTGACAATGTGACATTGCGAATTGAAAATGACTAGTATAATTTTGCATAAGTAGTACTCCCTCCGTCCCAATTTGATGGTTGTGTTTCTTTTGGGCACAAAAATTAAGAAAATGTGGTAGAAAGACTAAAGAATCATACTTTATTGTACTATTCACCCTTTTACTTTTATTATACTCTTCACTAAAAAGGAGGTGTATAAATGGTAATCTACTTTTACTTCTTTACCAAAAAGGGAAACAAAACCATCATTTTGGAACATTCCGAAAATGAAATACAAGATCATCATTTTGAGAGTATATATTTTATTCATTTCATCAACTAATTAAAGCATATTGTAGATATAAGTTTTTCTCTATGTTTCGACATATTTTGATAATTGAACCCGAGTTTCAACAGTTTTAACAAATTCGGTGACTTAATTTGTAAGTCCAAAGGAAATTTATGAATAATAATTATTGTGAATGAGTAAATATTGGAATTTGAGAAGCAGTTGGATGATTACCAAGAACAAAGACGATCTTAACCTTTTTGTAATTTGAGAAGCTGTCTCCGTTTATTCCCTGAATGCAATTCGACATTGTTTGTCAATACTACCTCATTTAAATTATACTGTTGGATCATTACACTGTGTACAGGTGTAGCGATTTCAATACAATATCATTTTATCATTAAAATCAGCACTGCGAAAAGCATCACTCCTATTGTATTGCCCTTTTGACGGTCAATACAATAATGAAAACTTGAATAATGGTGATTATCATTGCTAACATAAACTTTAAATGGGCCAAAACTCCCATAAAGTTAAACCGTCCGTTTAACATCTAAAAGTAATTTGGTATAGATTTATTTCATTCAGAGATAATAATGCACTTATGCTGTTATGCACCAAAATGCATATAGTACGTAGTATTTTTTAATTTGACCTTGACAATTTTAATGAGCGATAACAGTAACAATGATAATATAATAATATAAAACCTTCTTTTCAAAATAATGACGGGTCGTGGCCATGAATGCCAAATACCGTAGTGGTGTACGTTGAGTAAGCTAAGCAATCTGCATTACCAAAGAGTAAATTAATAGAGTAATACGGAGTAGTAATTGGGAAATGGTCATTTATCTGGCTTGAATATAATGGCTATAAATTGAATATTTTGCAAAATATACAATATAATGGTTTGGATGGCTATATATAAATTAATCAAAAGTCAAAACCCAAACCATTAAAATATTTTGCTAAAGGTTTGAATGGCTATTGATTGTATTAAGTAAAATATTTAATTGAATGAAGAGATGAAGAAATCAAGCTAAGATAAGATCATAAGACCAGTACTTTCGATGGAGGAAGAGAATATTTAAGAAGAAAAGGCGACCAGCTCAGCTCCTGCCTAGTTCATCAAGTCCGTGTATTTATAGGCGGCAGTTATAACAACTGGCCGCAAATTTATGTAGGCAACGCTCACCAGGTAGAAAAATGGCGTAAGGGAGAACGTGATGAAGTCACTCTCATTCCATCAGAACGTGATCTAAACTCAACTAACATCCTCCCGGAAAAAATGTCCATCCAGTTTTGGAGGGCCTTTAGTGATGAGGTGTCATCATTTTTTTATATAGGCGCATTTTAAATAAAAATACTCCTTCCTTACACAAAACTATACCGAATATCTTTATTTAGTTGTCTCAAAGCATTTCCATTGAGGTAAGTGTCAGATTTGTACTCGAAGTTGCATAAAAAGAGTCAAATAAGTCCTTACTGTCCGGCCGTTGCAATTTGGGACGGTTCCCGGTGGAATTTTTTGATGAATTTTTTGAGCATATTTTTCATTAAGTCTAGTTTACTCATACCAAATTTCAGTTAAAACTTCAATCGAGAAGGCATTCAAATGAATTCTTGAAGATAACTGCGCAGTTATCTTCAAGAATTCATTTGAATGCCTTCCCGGTTGAATTTTTAGTTGAAATTCGGTATGAGTAAACTAGACTTAATGAATAAGATGCTAAAAAAGTTTCGTCAAAAAAAATCATTGAGAACCGTCACAAATGGCGATGGTTGGACAAAGTCTCCTATATAAGAACTTATTTGATCATTTTTTTGCAACTTCGACTACCAATCTGACCCTTACCTCCATTTCCATTTCCATTAAAGTAATAAATACTAAGTATGTCGTTAAAATTATCACTCTTTTCTACACAAATTTAAATCACACGCTTTTTACTTTATTAGTTTACATGTGAGTTAACTTTGGACAAATTTTATTGGACAAGGGAGTATATACTATGGTATAACTTTAGCTGTATGGGAAAGGAGAGATGATTGAGGGGATGCAAATTCAAATTTTGGGAGAGACTTGTCAAAATGATACACACCCTTGTGGTATGATCCCTTTTCAGCCTGGACTTGCAGGAACGCCCAATGTATACCGGGCTGTCCTTTATGAAATTGATAATGAATTTATGATGATTATATTTTGTTGTATTCACCATACATTGCCATAATATATTGTTGTCCATGCATGTCTATGTTTACGGTTTTCTTTCTTCCGTTTTATACTTTTATGGAATCTATGTAGTGCAGTAGTGGCGGACTCTTGTTTCAATTTGTTCACATGAACACTCAATTTTTTCAAAAACGTTAGCAGTCTTCTAATAAACGTTATAATGGTCTCACTTTTTCGTTATTCATGAATAATCCAACATTTGCACCTCATCTTCATTCACTGGTCCCTGACCAGTTGATGACCTGCTATTCCAAGATATTTCTTACCTTTACAAACCATTATACCATAAATCTCACCTTTCACAAAGATAGTATTTTGCAAAGATAAGAAAATAACTTGGAATAGCAGGTCATTAACCGGTCGGGGACCAGCGAATGAAGATGAGGTGCAGAGTTTGGATTATTCTTGAATAACGAAAAGGTGAGACTATTGTAAGAAAACTGCTAAAATGTTGGATTATTAGTTTTCATTTTTTCAAGTATATATGTATAAATTTAGTATAATTATTCATTTCTCATTACATTTTTGGTTGCAAATAAACATTTTTTTTTGGTGATTTTTTTTGGGTGATAAACATTGATTTTTTTGCAAATAAACATTGAACACCCAAAATGTAAATTCCAAATCCGCTACTTATCTATGGGCATTAAATAATTGTTTCCGGACGGAATACTAGCACGTTAACATGAAGATGGAGACACGGAGTTGCAAGGTCTTCTTGGTGAAACATTTAAATTTTAAAAGCAACTATTTTATCATCACAATACATTCTATTACATTAAATTGTTCCAGTCAACATCAAGTGATACACAGGAACGAAGAGAATAAAGATACCTAGATAAATATAGTGTATGCGACAACAATTTTGAAGTGTAAAAAACATGTATGTTTATTTGATACTACAGTTTATAATGTAACGAGTATTCTTTTTTTATCCATGTATGTTTAAAGGATGGTTTGGTGTACCTGCTAGGGGTAGGCAAGGATAGACTGGGACGGGTAGGCCCGAGTCCACCACTAGACCCGGCCCGGGGACTGACCTGGCGGCCATAAGGGCGGGCTTGAGGCTTGTATTTTAATTTGGACCCGATTACATTTTATTTTTAATTTATTGCCCAATCCCGCCCGACCCGGTCTCGGTAAAATCCCAGGTCGGTACCAGACCTGAATTTCTTAAGCCAGAGCCCACCCAGGCCCAGAGCCCGGCCCAACCCAGTCCACCTCTAGGGATAGGGGAAATTAAAATGGAAGTTGGTATTTTTAAGTGACAACTTTTATTTAAATTAAACCTTTTAAAACTAAAAGCATGATACAGATGCCAAGTATTTTAAATTGCTCTTCCAAAAAAAGTATTTTAAATTGTTTTTCACTTCTATTATACAAAAGTACTTTATTCTGCATTGGCTTGGGAATCGGCACGAAGCAAGAAGATCGCGATTCCAACCAGTCGTTATTAAAGAACAAGTATTTATTCTTGTGGTAAAGATAAAAAGATCAATCTACTTGTAATAGCTGCTACTGCTAGTACGAATCCAATTCCGCATAAAGCTTTACTACGTGTTTCCTTTCATTCCTCAATTCTGAAATGAACATCTTTACACCAATCATAAAGTAAAACCACAATTCCACATAAAGCTTCACAACGCGGCTTCTCTCATTCCTCAATTCTGAAATGATGATTCTTTACACTAATTATAAAACAAAAGAAAAGAAAATTCTAAAGTAAAGGTGACATCGATGATGTAGTAATGGACTTCTCAAGTTCTCAACTACATATTTATTGCTCCGTAAATTTCAACCCCTTTGGTAGATTTGATTGAAATGACTATAAAATTCATTTGAAAAAATATAGATGGAAAGGAACTAATATTTAAAAGATTGTATTTCAACAAAATGCATATACATAACAGATTTTGCAAAACATTTTATACTACTGGAGTCAAATAAGCTAGCCTTGAGTGAAAGATTGGGTGTATGAGCCAAAAAAGTGGAGTACCAAACAAGCTCACAAACTTAACCTCATCCATATTGATAGCATTTTATTGGAAGGTCTATAGAGCTACAAAATTTTCCTTGGTACCCTTTGGGGTTTCAATCCTTTCTGATTGAGATACAAGTAGCTGATGGACTCTGCTCTTCAACTGCATTGGCCAAAAACGAAAAAATGCAGTAATTACGTAAACACTAATAAATACAAATAGTTGCAAGCTCATTTGTACCCACAAGTAGTAATCAATGCGGAGTATAAAAAATGTTCATCATAAAACTATAAAAGGGTGAATCAGAGTACTGACGTCATTAAGCCCGATTTCGCTCTTCACGGACACGTGTAACGCTCCGTCAGGTCCCATTTTCCTGTACTTTACAAGCTCGGGATGGTCTGTTTTGCTATCTTCTGTTACAAAGATGACAGGGGATTCTTGCAGCAGATCACATTTAGAGACAACATCAAGCCAGATGTGATTACTAAACCTGCCCCTTACTTCCTTATAAATCGCAAACTGCAGCACAAAACATAAAGAGCAATCAACTCCAAGTTGATGACAGAGAGTAGCCCATCTAGATCATTTATGATTTGTTTGGACAAAGAGGGATTTAGCAAAAAGAATTTTGAGAGCACCAGACATTGAGTAAATCTTAGTGTGTTTGCAATGAGATCAGAGGAGAAAAGGTTCAATTTTCTTGTAAAGACATACTCCATTTTTATCATTTATTTTGTGCAGATCTTGTTAGGTAGAGAAAGAATAGCAAGGTTAAAATGGTAATTGCAGCAATTTTTATCCCATATCCAACTATCTCTTCAATACTTTTCTCTTCATCAAAACACCAAACTTTTTTATTTTCTGATTATCTCCCTCACTTTCTTTGCTACTCTTTCCTTCCCAAAATTATCCTAAATAAAGGTTCAGAGAAACTGGTGCTCTTTATTGTCCTTCCACACAAGACTACAGAATTCATAACTACAGACAAAAAAAACTTGCTAATATCATTGACACACAGGGTCTAAATTACACCAAAAGTTGTTAAACTCGAGATCCTCCTAGCACAGACCAGAAGAGGTTATGGAGATTGTAACTCGGGGGGTCATAAGATCCAAGAATTATAGCTGCCAAGCAGTATTTACATCTATATGATTACTCCGATAATTTAAAACTTTATTATAACTCACCCATAATAATTAGCATTAATAACATACAATTTTTTATGTATAACCATATAGACTCTACTATGGAGTCATATGGATATATCTTTATCATAACCATTCATTTTTATAGTGAAAGACTCCATTATAAAAAAGTGTGGTTGCGATGGAGTCACATAGGTCTATATGACTCCATAGGGGAGTCATATATGACTCCACAAAACTTCCCTAATAACATAAATACACAATGTCAAGACTCAAGACAATAAATAAAAAGATTTAAGAACCAAATAAAACGAGTTCAAGATAGACTGCAAAACATTTAAACATAATAATATGTCGAGGCAGTAATGGGAGGAAAACATTTACAGAGAATTCTTTAGCAGATGAAGAAAGGCTGAGAACAAAGGGATCAGATCGAAAAGCTAATCTGCTAATGGATTACAAGATGCAAATGAGAGACTTTTATAAGAATAATAAGCACTCTGGATCCTTGTATAACGTTGCACCCTTAATCCTTAAAGTTTTGAAGAACAGAAAGGATGCAGAGAAGAAAAGCTGATCCGCTGATGAATTAGAATTTAGAAGATGTAAATTAGACAGACGTTTATAACTACAATAAGGAGTCTGGATCCCTGTATAATGTTGCATCCTCATTTCTTAGAGTTTCCAAGCATCTGGAGTATGAGTTCAATTTGAGCAGCCTGACGCTTCACAAGTCTTTTTTTCTTCAAAATTTCATTCATTTGATGTACTAGACCGACTCTATGCTGCTGTACCATCATTACCCTCGAGCAGATTGACTTAATGTGCCGATCCTGCGCTCTTATGATCTTTCTCAAGTTGACAGTATTTTCGGATTTTTTCCAATCTAACTTATGACCCAGGTCGCCCATAGCTCTCCTACTCGTAAGATCAGAAGATCTAATGAGTTACGCGCGATCTTAAGTCTTAACAACCTGGACGTACACTGTTAATATTGAAGAAGAGAAACTCTAGAGTTCATCAATAAGAACTACGTAGTATCTTATATACAGCCTTAGTGAACTTGAAGCCAAATAAGTCTAATATTAATGCAATTTGCTTATGTACCTGATCGGAAGGTGATGTTCCACACTCTCCGGATAAATCGTGGACATAAAGTACAGCTGTTGGCAAGTGACTCAGAACAGCAATCGTCAACTTCTCCAAATTATTCCTGTCCTCTGCATGTTCACTCAAAGGATATCAAATACAATTCTACAAAACACAAAATCTAACTTCACCTATTTCATTAACGGCAAACTAATTATATTGTTTGACAAGATTTTGATATATAAGAATAAAACAAAAATTGCAACCAGTAACAGAGGTTTTTCTATCTCCATCCCTCTGTCTCTCAGAGTCTCAGTATTTCATATACAGGGTTTTCCCTAAAATATTACTTAAATAATATTTATGGGTAAAATGTGACTAAAGTTGCTATGAGTATAATGTCATGGTTGCTACAGTTTAAAATTGAACAAAATCATAGTCGCTAAAAGTTACTAATATAATCATTGAGTACAAGAGGTCACATTTTTGTACACCATTTTTATTGTAGTCATTTACAAGTCATTGTTTCATATAAGTATGTGTATATCCACTCGAGTCATACCATCACGCCGCCTCAAGATACCAGGGGTATCAGTAACCTGAAGACAAAAATTATGGTGTAAGTGAAGTATAGCAAAATTACACAAATATTGGTAAAATTTACTGCCTCCCATACAAGACAATAAATAGTAACCTGAAAATTCTGGTAGCTCAAAGTAATATGCCCCATTAAAATTCCTCGAGTTGTAAACGGATAATTGCAGATCTGAAGTTTATGAAAAATATGGGTCCATAGATTCATAATAGGAAGAGTGAAAAAATCTAAGGCTTACAAAAAAGAGTACTTGAAAAACTGTGCACCTCTGGTTTCCCGGTTGAAAGTACACGAACCAAAGATGATTTACCAACATTAGGAGCGCCCACAAGACAAAGAGTTGGAGTTTCCAAATCAATAACTGGCATTGCTCTCAATGTCTACACCGGTACACCCAAAGTAACAGTCATTAAAAAGGAAATTGCTAAAGTAAGGGCATATTGCAACTCTCTTCTGATTGCCACTTGAAAATACAAAGTCAAAGTAATGGAAAAGGAAGCAATTTTGTAATGAAATTTCATTTATTTGCATTATACAAAACTCTACCAAGTGCTTCATGTTTCCTATGAGGCTATGACATCTTACCTTGGCAATGTCCATCAGCTCATCAACAGCTTTTCCTTCACTTTGAAAAATGTCTTCAAGGTTTTTCATTCCCTGTATATCCAATTAATATTCGGGTAACAAGTTTCAGAAATACTCGGACAAGTTACTCATTCCACGTCTTATTCTTAAAAAAATGAGTAATTATGGACAATTAAGTCATTCAAAGTAAAGAAATGTGTTGACCTCACTCAATCGCTCCTCCGCTTCACGCTTTGTCGATGACTGCAAAAGTATGTGAAATTTTAGCTTTCACCTTAACACTAGAGATGTCAATGGAAAAGGGACAATGCATGGTCAACTGAAAAAAAAAAAACAAATTAAAATAGCCTACGAAAGTAATGAGATCAAACAGGTAAAGGAAAAGTATTCTACCTTGGCACAGAGAGAGGCATGTTCTTTTCCAACTGACACAACCTTCTTCCTCAATGCATCAATCTTTCCCAAAGCCTGACAACCATAACAGTAGCTATTAATAAAACGAAGTCACTAAGATGAAAATTTAAAACTGTGGTCACATTTGAAGCATTACCGCTTCATAGTTTCCATCTCCTAGTGTCAACTCAATCAAAGATCTTTCATAAGGATGCAAACACTGTTTTATTGGGAAAGTCTCCCTATATGTCTTCAATGGAAGAGCTAGCTCCTACATACGGAAATAATATGAAGCTCTTTTTCATTTGAAACAGCCAAAAGCAGAGGCTTCATCTGCACAATTTAATTAATCTTTTTTAACCTTCAACAGCGCATCAAGTTGTTTTGCACCTCGATTTCTCTCTCGCTTTGCAATATTAGCAATGCCTGCTTAAAAAGAAACATTAATGCCATGCCAAATTTCCTATTATCTTTGTCTTAGGGCTTGTTTAGAATCTGGGAAACGCTAGTTAAAGAAAATGGGCTGAATATAGAGGTATAATCAGGAGCAAAGTAAATTTGGGGAAAAAGTGGTACAAACCCAATAAAACCTTTTCAGATATTTCTTCAAACTCAATTTACTTACTTATTTCTATTTTATAAAGACTAAAAATCTTAATAGAAGTGATTTTTAGAAAAAGTTTTATTCAAATTTCATTTTTCTTCATATTTTTCAAACTGAACACGATGGGTCATCCGGAAACAATCTCTTTGTGCTTTAGTACAATGGTAAGACTGCGTACATTCGACCCCCTTACCTCACCGTAGGTGGGAGCCTTTGCGCCACTGGGGTAATGATGATGATTTTTCAAACTGAAACCAGACAAAAAAATGTTCATTTTCCATTTTTTCTCCTCCCTACCATTTTCTGATTCAAAACACGGGCTTAAATGCTTAATCAAGCTGGTGATTATTACAAAATTAAACATCTGATATTAGACTGCTTGCAAAACAACCAACCTTTTGTAGGTGAGACCCTCTTTGCTTTCCTCAGTGCCGAATATAATATATCCACTGATGGCATTACCATGGGTAACTTTTTAAAGGCACCCGTGTTTTCTAATGGGGTAGTTGATTTTACCTGAAAGAAAAGATAAATTGCATCCAATTGAATGCAAAAAACGCCCCATTACAGTGGGTTTACAGCCAATGCCAAATCAATATGTTTCTGATGGAGGCCAAAATGAAACGAAGTAGGATAGATTTGCAATAATAAATAGTAATGATGATTATTAAATTCTAGAAGAACAATAAATGCCCTAAAGGCCATTCAAGGGGTCACTTGCTGAACTTTAGACGCCAGTGTGAAATATAGATTCAGAGACATGATTGCAGGGGATAAGGATGACAAACAGTTTCCTTCCAAATTCTAATTGTGCAGCTCATGGATTTACTGGACTAAGAGAAACATAGGGTCTATTTCAAACATGGATTTGGAAGGAAATAAAATGTTGAGACATAGGGTCTATTGGTTCAGACTTCAAACTGAATAGTTTTTTTACTACAACAACAACAACATCCAAGCCTTAGTCCCAAAAGATATTGGGGTCGGCTAACATGAATCGATACATGATATCACCGTCAAAAGGAAAAGAAAGAAAATAAAGATAAAAAAGATAATACAAAAAGAGATGAATATACCTAAAAATGATAAAATAAAATGGATAAAAATAATGTTTATATATATAAGGATAAAAGAATAAAAAAACAAGAAGAAAAAAAGATGAGGGGAAATAATAAGAAGTGCCAATATTTGTTCAAAATCATTTTTATAAATACTAAGAAGTTCTTCCTTACAATTTCCTTTCCTAGCATATTCCGAGTCCAGACATAGCCACATTAAACCTTTGCCCAAGTGCCAATACACAGAAAGATACTTACTCTTTCATCCAGTTTAGAATCACGATTCGGGATGTAGCTTCCATTTACAACTTCATAAGCAGTGGTTTGCACCTGCTTGCACAAGCATGACATGGGATGCATAACTCTTCCAATCACTGTGTACTGACCTATTCCAATTGAATCATGATAAGAGAAACATAAATGAGAGAAATTCAGAAATTAAAACATAAATACTGAATATTTACACTGAAACGTGCAGATGTGCATGGATTTCAGTATATGAGAGAGAGATGGTACTTTTGGAGAGACTGCAGCTCCTGAGTAAGCGTGTGGATGAAGGATGTTGCCATAGCTGTGACAGACTTGATGTCCCACTCATTCCCTTCCTCAGGGACGGTCCTGAGAAATTGGGGATCCTGTGCAACAAGAAAAATTGGGCCTTTTTTCAAGTTCCAACACAATTAATTTTTATTAAAATAGAACTTACCACAATGGTCTAGTATTTCAACATTATTTTCAACATCTACATTATGCTCTTCACCCTATTGAACCCTCTAGCTTCTTTAATACTTAATAGGAGTAATAAATTTATAAGAGCTCCTTTTTGAGACAAAGTTAACTTTTTCAATTCTTCTTTTCTTTTGAAGTTTCTCATTACAACTCTTTGAAAACATATTTACTACCAAATATTAATTATTCAAATTCTCCCCTAATCATGTACATGTTAAAAAAAGGATAAAATTTAATTTCCATTATTCAAATTCTTAATTGAATAATTTTTAAACACACTTATTCTCAATTCAATTACTTAATAAGTAATAAATTACTACAATAGATAAACAAACCACAACAACGGCCACAAGGCAAGTAGGCAACAAAGAACTAATTAATTAGTGATTTAGTGATTCAAAGAATCAAAGTCTCAAAGAAATAAGAAAATCTGCTTAGTTGCTTACCGACGGGTAGCGGCCCTAGAGTGGAAAGTGGACTGCCGGACTGGTGCGGTCGTGGTCCTGGAGGCTGGAGGCGGTCAAGCGGGGCGTCTCTGCGTGGTGCGCACGTGCGGTGGCGGCGGGCTGGAGGCGGTCGTCGGAGGCTTTTTCTTCCCGTTCTATATTTCCTTCGCCTATTCCCAGTTCAAAGCTTCAGACTTGCGGTTCCCTTTGTTCGCGCTTCGTCTGAGGCTGGTATACAAAGACCAAAGACCAGCCATTTATCAAATGAGACTCGCAAATTACAGACCGAAAAAAACATATTAAGAAGTTGTTCTCTTCCTCTTAATCATATTACTCCCTCCGTCCCGAAAACAACCTCCCGGTTTGACTTTCACACACTTTTAGAAAATAAATTTAACTTTACTGTAGAGTGCACTGTTTTGCACTGTTTAAACACTGTTTGACACTGTTTAAACACTGTTTGGCACTGTTTATCACTTTTTTGATGTAGATAATTTGCCAAATAAGGAAAGTATTGAAGTGTGAAGTTAATTTTGGGACATCCATTTAAGGAAAGTGGGAAGTTGTTTTTGGGACGGAGGGAGTACTTATTTCTTATTTTTATTTTATTCAGATCAGATCAGATCAGAAACATTCAGATCAGATAAAAAAGATTCAGATCAGACCAGATCAGAAACATTCAGATCAAATCAGAAACATTCAGATCAGATGAGATCAGAAAAATTCAAACATGATTTTTCACTTTTATTATTATGTTAATTATAATAATTATTATTATTATAATTATTGTTAATAATATTAATAATATAAATATTATTATTATTATAGTATAATAAGAATAATATAATATATTAATAATAATAATAATATAACACTAGTAATAATATTAATATTATATAATAATAATAAAATGTTATTATTGTATTATTATTGTTATAATAATAATAAAAATAATACTATAATTTATTATTATAATATTATTATTGTTATAATAATATAATGTAATTATAATTATAATAATAGATATTATTATTATTGTTGCTGTTATTGTTGTAATTATTATTATATGTAGTAATTATATTTATATTTATAAATTATAGAAATAAATATTATAATTACATTACAATAATAATTATATAAGTAATTATAATTAAAAATATAATTACTTTTATAATTGTATATCTATAATTGTAATTAGTGTAATTGGTGAGGAAGCGGTCCAGTTCAGCTGGTCGAAGACTCACTCTCCCTTATGGGAGGTCCTGGGGTTCGAAACTCAATGGAGTGAGTTTCAGTCCAGCTTACTCTAGGCTCCCCCTTCCCCCCCAAAAGCCCCCTGGAGTTAAAAAAAATAGTGTAATTGGTATAATTATTACTACGAATAATTTTAAATTTAATTTTAATTTTAATTATATTTTTTATAATTATGATTTTATTTAAGTTATATTTGTAATTACAATTACAATTATAATAATTATAATTATAATAACAATTATAGAAAAATGAGATATTACCCAAAATGGGACTAAAAAAGTTTGGAAATTCAAAAATAAGACTTCCATATATTTATTCCCAAAATAGGACTAATTACTGTCATGTTTTGGCAGTACCAGACTTCAAACATGGCAATATTTTCCAAATTTGGCAGTAATTAGTCCTATTTTGAGAATAAAAACATGACAGTCCTATTTTGGAATTTTCAAACTCTTTTAGTCCCATTTCGGGAACTTTCCCTAGAAATATTCAAATCAGACCAGATCAGAAAGATTCAGATCAAATCAGATCAGATCTGAAGAATTCAGATCAGAAACATTCATATCAGATCAGACCAGTTAGAAAGATTCAGATCAGATCAGAAAGATTTAGATCAGATCAGAAATATTCAGATCAGATCAGATCAAAACTTAAAAAATTCAGATCAGAAACATTTAGATAAGGTGAAGAGAAGAATTTCTAAGTTAATGTTTGAGAGTATATTTCGAGAATAATGTTTAAGAAAATATTTACAAAATTGGGGTCACTTTTATATAAATTTTGATAATATGCCCCTCTCTTGCAACTTCTACTTCTCATATGTCTCGTTTGATATCACAACTAAAGTTTTTCATTTTAATGTTTGAAAATAATTAACATTCCAAAATGATAATGCATGATCAAATATAAAAAAATAATACATTTATAAGATTAATTATAATAATCATCATTGACTTCACTATATTATACAAATACTAATCATTGGTGAAACAAGACATTCATTCACCAAATTATAAATTTACTTGTATAGTTCTACACACAAATTATGTAACTTCTTTACAAAGCATAAATTGTTAGTGTCAAATATGTAACTTCATTTATCTATTGCAGTTTTTTATATAACTTTAATCATTGTTTACAAATTGGCACACCCCACACACGACTTTGCCTCTCATCTCTTTAATCAACATTGATACGTTTTAAAGAATCATATGATCAACCAAACATAAGATCTCATATTCATGCATTCAATTAGTGGTGAATAAATGTGTCCATTCTTTTTTATTTATATCAATTAAAGAAGATCATGGGATTAAAATTTGAAGACCTCTTCACCAAGAAATCAAGAATGAAACGGAAGATCAAAGGCATTTCAAATTTGGAGTTCCTTTCGTCAAAACACAAACGGAAGGAAAGTCGTTTAGATCCAGGGCTCTATCATTAAAAGTGAAACGTAAAGAATATCTCATGCGTATCCAAAAGCCCTCTTGATAAAAATAAAAAGCAGAAGAATTAGGCATGACAATGAGTCGGGCGGGGCGGGTACTGCAAGACCCGGACCCGTCCCATGACTTGGCGGGGTGGGTCCACCCCGCCCCATGATCTGCACGGGTCCAAACTTGTTGACTCATGACCCGGCCCATGCAGGGCGGGTCCGCCCCGCCCCGCCGTAACCTAATTGGCTAGTATATATGTATTTTTATTTGTGGGAAGTTGGTACCATTTGAATCTACATATAGTTTATCTCTAAATAATAATTAAAGTTTAATATATTAAATCGAATTCATGATATGCTAAAATTTTTAAAAATTAAAGAAAAATTACTCAAACATGAATAGTTAATCTATTTTATTATATTAATAATTGAATATATGTATTAAAATGTTATAAATAAAAATGAAATTGATAATCCGTCGTTCATCTCATTCTAATATACTACCTCTGTTCTTAAATAAATGCAACCTGTTGAATTTTACACTATTCAAATGTTGTACTTTGACTAAGGTTTATTTATTAACGTATTAATATATATTTTTGAAACATATTTTTTTAAATTTGTCTCATTGTAAACTATCGAAATCTATTTTTTTTAAAAATTTATAATAATAGAGAATTATATATATCAATGGTCAAAGTTGTGACTCGACAAATGTGAAATGTTGACCGTTGCATTTATTTAAGAACAGAGGAAGTATATATTAATATATTATAAGATCAAAGCATCTTATGATTTGTATACACATATGCATATTGAAGTATATTTGTAGTATAATTAAAAAAATGTATACTTATATATTGAGCAGGTCGGGTCAGGCGGGTCAGGGAGGCACGAGTCAATACTAATACTCGGACCCGCCCCATTGTATAGGCGGGGCGGTGCGGACCCGCCCCATTTGCAAGACGGGGCGGACCCACCCCAAATATCTTGGGCTAGGGCGGGTCATTGCGGGTCTTTTTTTTTTGACATCCCTAAGAAGAATAAATTTAGAGACCTTGTTCGAAATGATCAAGACATAAATTCAAATGCATGTGATGAAAAAATCCAAGACTCCCTCGTTCTCTACACCTCGGTTCTCTAATAAAGTGACTTATATTAAATAATGAGAACTTGAACAAGTAACAAAATGACAAAAAGGCCAATCGTCAACCCTCGAAGCAAACTCAGAGACAAATCACCCTACAAAAAGCAATATGTCTCGTTGATCATATAATGAACATAATTGAGCCAAAGGCGATCATAATAGACTTTTATCAATCAACCCAAACTCCAGAATAAGCACAACAAACATAACATCTTGACAAGACAAAAAACTAAAAGAAAATCAAAACTAGTATAATTAAATTGTTTGCCCATAATCACAAGAAACTTGTAATTTCTTCTTGGAGAGAACTATTTCAGAATCCAATAGACCCTCTTCATTGTCTCCTACCTCCAGCCAGCCTCATCCGCCCGTGAGCTCTTGTTGTCGCCGAAGAGCACAAAAGCTGGAAACGATCGATCAACATCCTCACAAATCTTGCAATTTGTCACAAAATTGAAACTACGACCAAAACAATAAAACATTGTGGCCAAGAGAGGCCAAAAGCTCGCCACCAAAGGAAACAGCGGAAGAAAACAAATCCTACGAGAGAGGCTAATATGTTTAAATCTTATCCCATCCTCCTAATTTTATCATAAACCAAGGCTCTCATTAGTGAAAAAAACGATATTCATTTACCAAATTTTCTTCTATAATTTTCCATAGTTTTTAAAGATTTTTTTCATGGTTTAGCCTTTTCGATACTACGATATTGTCTTTTCGAGTCAACAAGTAACATCCTAAAAGTCAGAATTTCATATCTGGCCGCAACCAAATTAAGAAAAACAAGAATCAATCCACCATCATGTTTTTGAAAACATGAGCAGTTGGATGTTATAAACACTACTTTGATCTAGCTTTGGATTTTGTTAGCTTAATTGGTTAAACTCATAATCTGTCATATTAAAGCACTTCTCCTTGTACAAGCAAAAAAAAACTCAACATATTGGGGTGTGTGGTTGCTAGCCTATCAGCCAATTTTTGGCCTTTTGACCATGATTTGGCTTTTTGACTAAATCTAATAGTTAACAAGAGTGTTTGGTAAAATGGCATTTCAAATGACTTTTTATCCCAAACAGTCAAAATAGAAAAAGCCATAAAACCCAGCGTTTTGGTTTGACTGTTCGGTCTCAATTATAATATTTCCTAGTCTACCCATCCCCTTTCTCTTCTGTACCATTATTCTCTCGGTCCTCTTCTTCATATTGGTTAAGGTTAGAAGTTCACCGGCGGACAAACTTGGTCAGAGAAATTTTAAGACTTGGTTAAAAAAATTTAGAGAAACTTTATGATTGAACTGAGATGGCTTTGATACCACTTAATTGTCACGCCCCAGACCGCGATCTGAGCGCGTGCACAACCGCCGTATAATCAAGTGACGTCACCCGCGAGTCAACCTCACTTAACCATACAAGGTGAGTCAAC